GTCCCCCTTGGTGCCCTTCGAGTTCAACGACGAAGCCCGGCACGCGTTCCATACGCTGAAGACGGCTTTGCTCCAAGCTTCCGTCTTAAACATCTATGACCCGACCTAGCCTACCAAAGTGACTACGGACGCTTTCAGCTATGGCATTGGCGCAGTTTTGGAACAGCATGACGACACAGACTGGCATCCGGTTGAGTACTTCAGCCAAAAGGTGCCACCCATCAATACACTTGATAATGCGAGGAAGAAGGAACTTCTAGCTTTCGTCACCGTTTGGCGTCACTTCCTCCTCGGGCGTCGGCGATTCACGTGGGCAACAAACAACAATCCGTTGACTTATTACAAGAGCCAGAACACGGTGAGCAGCACGATCGGTCGATGGATGTACTTCATTGACCAGTTCGACTCCACCTCCAAGCACATCAGGGGCTCCTCGAACAAGGTAGTGGATGCTCTCTCGCGAAGACCCGATCTTTATGCCTTGGTGCATTCCACATTCGACCTCGACGAGGACCTGCAACTGCATTTCGTAAACGGCTACAAGTCAGATCCGGGATTCTCCACACTCTACGCAGACTTATCATCGGATCAACCGCCGACAAGCAATTACCGCATTGTCGACGGCTACTTGCTTCTCCATACATGAGGCAAGGACTTGTTGTGTCTTCCCTAAGACCGCATCTTAAAAACTCGCCTCCTTGGCGAATACCACGATTCACGGTTGGCGGGACACCTTGGCGTCGCACGCACACTTGCACGACTCCGCCAACGATTTCACTGGCCGGACATCATCGACGTCAACCAGTACATTCAGTCATGTGCAGTTTGCCACTGGAACAAAGGGTGTCATCATCTCCCGTACGGCGAACTGAAACCATTGCCGATTCCTCGGGATCCAGGTCTTTCCATTGCTATGGATGTGACCAGTCTTTTCCCTCGTGATCGCCTTGGCCATGATGGTATTCTCATGATCGTTGACCGTTTGAGCAAGTACGCTCGATTTCTTCCATGCAAGTACCATGTGACGTCTCCCGAGCTCGCACGACTTTTGCATACTGGCTGGTTTTGCAGCCACGGCGTTCCGGAAGACATCGTTAGCGACCGCGACACTCGTTTCATGTCAACCTTTTGGACAGCACTCATGGTGGAATTCGACACCAGCATGAAACCGATTTCCGCACGGCACCCTCAAACAGATAGGCAAACGGAACGTGCGCACCAGACTGCGCAGATGATGCTCCGCACACTCATCTGCCCGGATCAGAAGGACTGGGTTGACCGCCTTCCCGACATCGAGTTCGCCTACAACACTTCGCTGCACCCGACGATTGGTGTGACTCCATTCGAGTTGCATCACGGTGGACAGAAAGGACGTATCTTCGCAGACATTTTGCTTCCACGGGCTGCCGATATCGACGTCGCTTGCTCCCCCGCTTCTACACGGAAGTACAGGGAACTGCTGGCCAAAGCCCGCGCAAACATGCAAAAGGCTCAGGTCCATATGCAGTAGCAAGCGAACCGGCGTCGCATCCCATGTCCAATTCGTGCTGGCGACCTGGTTTGGTTCACCGCCAAGGAATTTGCTCTCGAGCAGCACGTCTCGCGCAAGCTCCTCCCTAAGTGGTTTGGACCATGGAAGGTCACTTTAGCAACTGGCGATGACCCCACGGGTCCATCTTTCATCATTGAGATTCCCCCGCATTTGACGGTCCACCCAGTATTTCACGCTTCAAAGCTGGCGGTCTATACTCCAGCCTCCGCAGCAGACTTCCCGGGCAGACGGTCACACGACCCTCCTTCAATGGATGGTCACCAGGAGGTTGACCGCGTTCTCACTCATCGCAAGCATGGCAACAAGCCAATGCAGTACAAAGTTACATTTAAGCAATGCGATCCTGACGACACACGCTGGATTTCATGAGCTGACCTGAAGGTGACAACACCCCTCATCTTTGCACATTACGAAAAACAGCGACTTGCTAAGGAAGCTGCCCAACCTGCCCGCCCCGTACGGACATCGGACAGACAGCTTCGCCCTCGCAGTTAGCTCGGTCTTCAAGGGGGGGAGTGTGTGGCATTCTGAGCCACACGGGCCCCAGTTAGGGCCCGGTTCCACGTAGGCAGGGTAGGCCTAAGGGGACGATGGTTCATATGAGGCCCAGGTAGGCCAGGGGCACGACGTTTTGGACAGGCCAGGGGTAGAGGCCCAGGCCAACGGCCACAAGGCCGGTACCGGTCCAGCATAGGACCTACCGGCAGTGCAGTTCAGAGGGTGCAGCGTTTAGGCGCCAAGTCCAGTTCGAATCTGGACCATTGATCAGATCAACGGTCCAGGCCGGTAGGTACTAGTAGGTAGGAGGCCGGCCCAGCACTACAAAAGGCTGGGTACCAGCCTCAGTAGGGAGGTCAGAGGTTAGTGAGGTTGGAGTTAGTCTTCAGGATTAGCGCAGCCTTGCAGCGTTAGTGAGATAAGCGCAGCGCAGCAGCGTTAGCGCGAGCAGCGAGGAGAAGACGAGCGCAGCAACGAGAAGGAACAGCGCAGCGGCCCTGCCGCGCCATAGCTACCGGATCAGGTACCGGGGAGGAAGGTTTTGCCTTCTCTCCCTCTGTTCCTCCGCCCCCCTGCTCTCTCTCTCTCTCTCTCTCTCTCTCTTTCTCTCTCTCTCTCTCTCTCTCTCTCTCTCTCTCACTCTCCTCCTACCTTCTCAGTCTAAGTCTACTTCTGGGTTCTCCTACGGGACTACTATAAGTATGAAAGATGGTTACGAATTCTGATAACATTGGAGACAGTGACATTGGGACTAGAGGTTGAGGACTACTTGTGGGATCTGATTTCATCTGCCTCTGGAGATGTACTTGACATTGTGAGATCGATATCTGAGACATTGTGGGACACTGTATTCGCGACATTTCGGACTTTCACCATCTCTGACATTTCAAGATACTATCTTTGGAAACATTGAGTTGACGTCATCTTCTGTGGCATACTACGTAGCCACACAGGCCCTGCAGGGCCCGTCCCGGACATTCAGCCTAAAAGCCTAAAACTTAGGGCTTACAGGCCCCGTTCGTTTCAGCCTGGATGCTGAAAAACGAGGGCCTGCAGGCCCTACCCCGTTTCAGCCTATTTCTGGGTCTTTTCAGACCCAGAGTTTTCAGCCTGAAACGGAGGGCCATTTTCAGGCCCTCATTGTTTCGACCTTCCCCTAAGACTCAGGCACGTAAACAGGGATGCGGAACAGGCAAGAAATAGCCTGTTCCTCACGAGTTGATCAGGAGCTGCAGCTGCAGCCCCTGCCTCCATTCGGCAGGCTCAGGAGGCACACCCGTAGTACATAGGAAGTTCCCATGCACTTCACGGGGAGGTAGTTCAGTAGGCACGAGGTAGTCTTCAGGAGATCGGCCGCAGCACTCAGGAGGAGCGCTGCAGTAGTCTTTAGTGCTAGGCAGTAGTGGTAGCGCTAGCTGTAGTCTTCGGCGCTGGGCGCCATAGCTGTAGCTGTAGTCTTCAGCGCTGGGCGCTGGTAGGTGGTGGATCGCAGAGTGGGAGAGAGACTAGCGGAGGCCAGTGTTACTTACCTGTGGTGCCATCGCCCCAGCTCCATCTTCATGGTACCTGCATCAAGGCGCCAACTTCACAGGTTAGTACTGGACACACAGAGAGAGAGAGTTCTTCTTCTTCCTCTTCTAAGTCCACCTTCTCTTCTCACCCTCTCGCCACCTGACTTCTCAGACTACGACAGAGACAGACAGAGTTGTGACTTGAGACTTGACGGCATTGGATCCAGACTTGACATTTGGGATTCCGACATTCCGACGAGGGACTATTTGGGCTTGTGTCGAAGACTTGGTGTTGACGACATTCCCATCTTCCCCCTCCTYTTCGTCTATCCCCTTCCTCTTCRTCTGTGTATGGTATGGGCTGGCGMTGTCTTCCTGTGTGAAGCGCCAGACCCATTCACACCTTGTAACGATGATGATGATGTATGTTCAGGGCTGCATTACAACATTGATTGTTCGGATCACTGGTATCTATGTCTTCCGCTGTGTTATCTTGTACTTTGTATTGAAAGGTCGTTTCTTGTTCTGGTCTGCACGTTACAGCATGCAACAGTTTGGTATCGAAGCGGACCTCTCATACAGAGGACCCGCTCAATCAA